CACCAGGGGCCAACCAAGTTGATACATAAAATTAACCATCATACAGTGTAACCAGGAATGACTACACCCATTCAAGTAAAGCCCAAGCACTTCTCTCTAAATGAAGCCTCGGGCTTTTAGACCAAGCTCGCTGGCTCAAATCTATAAACCAACCTGGCTCATAATCCTAACAACCTTTATAGTCTAGTTTCACAAATCTGGGCAGATGAGAAATGAGGGAAGGAGGTAGAGAGTGAGGACTTGCTAGAGGCAGATGCCAGAAACAGTGAGAAGGGACAACTCACAGCCTGCCAGTGAGGAGGAGACAGAAGATCTATAAAAAGTAGACAGAACTATAAAAGCTCAGCTGCCTAGGGCCTTTGAGTGTTAGGACAAATTGTTCTGCTTGCTTCATGGAGTGAAGCTATAATACAGCCCAGTACAGCAACCAATGTTCTTAATAATATACCTGGGTCTCTAAATAACAGTGCGTGTGGATTACCTGTTATAAGGGGTGGAATGGAAGAAAAAGGACAGTTTTAAAGGGTGGGGGAAGGGCGTGGTAATCACTAGCTGATGTGCTTTCCCTCCACTCCAATCCTCACTTGCGTATGGGGAATACAGCAAATTATCTGTTGGCTCTTTTATATTTATTTATTTATTTATTTTTCCACTAGCCATTCCCCTTTTCTCAGGGCAATGGTATCCAGATCTCATTTTAAGAGAACTGTGCTTTCCATCCTCAGGCATGTAATTTGGGTGAGATTGATACCACGCCTTCTCCAGGGGTGGCCCTTTGGCTTAAGCAGATCTAAACATGCCATTTATCCTTTTGATCCTGCTTCAGAGGGGAGCACATATCCCAAATGGCTATTTACTGGGGCGTCTAAGAAATAGAGGCTTCCTTCATCTCCTTACTAGATGGTGTCTCATGGGGGTGTGGTCTAGATCTGCTGTAGCCATTCTGCTCCTGCGAAGGGGGAGCCTAGACCGTCCAACTGATGAGACGAAGTCCTCTGTGGAGATTGAACATAAAGCCGAAACTACAAAAAGGAAAGAGGAGAGAAGTTGAATTCTTATGACATCTGGATCAAACCTCACCTGAAGCTGCCGTAGAGTTTTAATTCATATACACTAATGGATTCCTTTTTTCCGATTATACCAACTTAAGCGAATTTTTAGTTGTTTGCAGTGAAATGATACCTGGCTGATATAATAGGTGATTCCTGAACAAGATTTTGAAAGAGGAGTAATATTTTGGCCAGAAAAGAGAGTTGAAGGGTATTCCAACAGCAATAATAATAATATTAATAATATGAACTATAGCAAAAATGTATGCTCCAGAAACTATCTAGAGCTTCACTTACTCCTCACAAAACCATATGAGGTTGGTGTTATGATTATCTCATTTTAGATGAAGCTCAGAAAGATTAAGTGGCTTGCCCAAGATCACACAGCTGAGAAGTGACCAAACAGGTCAGCCTGATGACCAGGAATATGTTCTTCTCGAGCTGCCTGTCTGCCTCCTCTAACCTTCCAGGCAGATATGTGAAAAGAAGAGGGGGCTGAAAGACCACTGTCAAAGGAGTGTGAAACCACTGATCTGTATGGTGATGATAGGGTATGGGGCAGGCCGTGAGGCGAAGAGGTTGTAGGACTCAGTGATGGACGAGGTGTAGTTGCAGCCATTACTGTTGTTTATGCAAAAAAATGCCCAAACCTGTAGACAATTTTCGTTAAGAGTTTATTTGAGTCCAAACTAATGACATACACCAGGGAGCAAGATCTTAAATGCTCTGGAGAATAACAGTTTTGCAGTTTCTTATATCTATTTGAAAGTAAGAAGGGCGGGTAAGGAAGAATATGACTGAAGGTAAGAAAGAAAGCAAGGTGGGAATCAGATTACAGGATAGTTAGTATTACCTGCTCTCATGAGGGTGATCAGGCTTTAGAAGGAGTAGTCTGAAGGGGGCATTTCAAAGATGTGTTAACCTAGACAAGCACAGACAGAGTGGACAGGGCTTGCTTAAGGCGAAGATAAACTTTTTATGTTTAGAAGGAGTAGTCTGAAGGGGGCATTTCAAAGGTGTGTTAACCTAAACAAGCACACACAGAGTGGACAGGGCTTGCTTAAGGCAAAGATAAACCTTTTACTAAAAAGTTATAGGCCTGGGCATGACCACCCACCATGACATGCCCCGTTAGGGATTTATGATTAGAGCATCCTGTGAGGTTACTTTCCATAGAACCCCTTTTTTGTCCATATTAGCATCCCTTGGCAGCCATGCAGTTTTGAAGTTACTCACCATCACTGCCCATAGAGCTATCTATGCCCAACCACTGCACAAGTTCAAAGTGGGGCTATCTTGCCAAGACATTTATATATTACTTATTCATGCAACAGCCATTGAGTGTCTATGCTCAGGCACCCTGCTTGGTGAGCAAGAGAGTCAAGGTAACTGCCTTTGAACCTTACAGTAGAGTTGAGAAAGACAATTTTAAACAAAGTTACACCTGTAAACATATCATTACCAACTGTGCAAAAGGCTGAGGGCCAAGAACAGAGTGCTATAAAAAGAATGAGGGAGACTTAGTTTAGATCAGAAGAGCATGTGCCAGCTTGTAGGGTAAGGCCTTCAGCAGAGGGCTTGATGTTCAAATGAGCAGATGCATTCTAAGCAGGAGAAATTGCATATGCAAAGAGGGAGATTGATTTGCATGTCTAAAGAACCGAAGAAGTCTAAATGGTTGCAAAGTTAGTGGGTGAGAGGTAGGCACAGGCTGGATCTTGTAGGACGTTGAGGCCACCTCAGGACTTCCTCCTTTAACATTTCCTGGAGGCACTGGGCCAGGCCATACCCGGGGAATAGGGATATAGTGGTTAATAAGGATGATAATAATAATGGCTAATATTTATGAAGTACTTACCACTTGCTATTAGAAATACTGTTTTAAGCACTTTGATGCACCTACTCATTTAAGCCTCCCAGCAACCCTATGCTGGAAGGTTAGAAACTAAATAACTTTAGTTAGAAACAAAGTGATTTTAGTTAGAAACATGAATTTTCAAGGTCGTACAATCAGTAATTGGCAACAGGCAGTCTGACTCCAGAACTCCTAGGCATTTATGTTCTTAATATGGGGGAGTGTCAAGTAAGAAAAGGTCCGAACCTGTAGAGAATTTTTATGAGTTTGAGCCAAACCGACAACAAATGCTAGGGAGCAAGATCTCAAATGCTCCAGGGAATAACAGTTTTGCAGCTTCTTTTATGCATTTGAGATTAGGGAGGGAAAAGAAGATTACACAGAGGCGAGAGAAAGCAAATCGGGGATTGGATTACAGGATAGTTAACAAGATTATATGCCCTCTTGAGGGTGGTATGGCTTATTTCAAAGGTATGTTAACCTAGATGCACAGAAACAATGGACAGGTCTCCCTTAAGGCAAAGATAAACCCTTTACTAAAAAGTTATAGGTCTGGGATGTGACCACTCACCATGACCTGCTTTTTATGATCAGATCACCCTGTGAGGTCACTTTCCATAGAATCCTCCCCCTACACAGGAGGAAGAAACTCCTCTACCCACAAGGTTCTTTTGGCCTAATAATCAAATAAACATGAGACAGATTGGCAAGAGAAAATGACCACATTTAATTACATGCATATGTATGGCAACCCCACATACATAGGAGAATCAGAGACCCTACGTACATGGGCGGTTCAAAACCAGAAAAGGAAAATGAGGTAGATATGGCATTCTGAGCTAAGGATCACCTTGAGGCTTCAGAGAGGAAGAAGGCCATTGCAGGGCAATGGAAAGGCAGACGTTCAGTAATTAGAAGTTTGCCCTGCCCTATAGACACGCCAGAAAAAAGTTATCTCTGATAATCTCTTATTCTGGGCAAGACCCCTAATTCAAATTCTTCTAGGTAGTTAAGGGGTTGGGGGTGGACAGAAGTTTCTTAAGCCCACAGTGTCTTGGTTGCCTTTAGTTCAGAACAATTTGCATACCACAGAAGCACATCTTGGGGTAACTTGTTCTGAACCCCAACATTAACCACTATGATTTACTGCCTCTTGTCAAAGATTAGAGGACAGTCATCCCGGTCATTTTAGCCACCCAAACAGTGCTTCAATTGTAGGTAGCTAGTTAAAAAGACAATTTCCCAAAATTGGCACAACATAAGAACTCCTGTGGGAGTTAAAACCAGACCCTTCTGGAGATTTAGATTCAGTAGGTTCACCCTGGAATTTGTATTTTTAACAAGTTTGACCAGTTCTGGCTCAGTAGTTCAGTTCAATGGCTTTTGCTGGACAGATCCTTGTTTGGGTCAGTCACAGCTTCGCTGATTTTCTAGATGTGTGTCACCTTGTGCAAACTGCTTCACCTCTCTGAGCATGTTTTTTCCATCTGACTAGAGAAGGTAATGATATAGATCATCTCCTAGGGCTGTTGTGCGGATTAAGTGAGCTGCGCAAAATGCTTAGAGCACTGTCTGATGTGTGAGCCATCATGATGTTAATACCATGGTGATGTTGACTAGACTCTGAAGACGCCTCGTGATTAAGTGTCATAGATCACGGCTGGTGCTTGGAGGACTGACCTGGGACAGGGCCCAGTCCTTTTGACCTTAAGGTACGGTTCCCAGATAAAATACAGGCTCCCAGTTAAATCGGAATTTCGGACAAACGACGAAAAAAATGTTTAGCATAAATTGTCTCCCAAATATTGCATGGGACGTACTTATACTAAGCAGTCATTCGTCGCTCATCTGGGCGTCCTGTATTTTCATTTGTTAAACCTGACCACTGCAACTTTAGGGCAGAGCTGGCCCCCATCCCAAGATACCCGCTCTGCGCAGGGGGCAGTACTCTGGGAGGTGGCACTCGCCAGGCGCCCCAGTCGATCCCAGAGGGGCCGCTCGAACTCCCGCCCCGCACAGGCAGCACTAGCGGCGCCCCG